AAACATAAAAAAATTTCAACATAAATTTTGCTTTTTGTGTTAAAATTATTATTTCATGTTCACCATTTAATTATCATCGCAATATTTTTTTATTTCATTTTTTTTATTTATATTAATAACAATCAGAACAATGGATTCGATTATCAACTAATTGTAAAGATTAACTTTTGATAATATTTTTTTTTTCATTCAAATCTACCTGATTGAAGTACTAGACTTTTTCAAACAAACGCCTTATATTTAACAAATCATTTATTTTGGTTGTCTATACATTTAGTGCATTATTCTGCTTCTTTCACAGTATAATCGTGGTTCTTTAATGAGATCTACTTCATTGTATTTTTCTTCATCTAATTTCAATAATTTTATTGCCTCTTTCTTTGCTTATTTGTCAACGATATTCTGCGATTGCTGAAGCCCACATATATGTCACCTGATATTTCAAAGTATTTAACACATAATAACTAAATTTATATATATATATATATATATATATATATATATATATATCTAATTAATTACTTATATTTTTATTTTGTGTTGGATATAGAGTTTGGACATAATTATAAACTTAAAATACCTGGATGAATATGACTCTCAATTCCACTATCTTTACTTTCTTCCATACCGCCCTCTTCACCATAATTTGGTAAAGCATATGCACCTTCTGTACCAGAATTTTGTGTATTAATACTTCCAATTGCTAACGATCCAGGTTTGGTATCTTTTGCCCTTGAATCATCATATTTGTAATTCTCATTATGATAACCCCCGTAATGATCTTCTGTGTCATATTCTTCTATGCTATTATCTGAATGATAACTATGATGGGCATAGTTTTTACTACTACTATCTCCAGATTCTGAATCATCAATACCACTGCTCTCATAACTGACATCCGCTAAAAAATTTAATATATTTTGATTAAAACTAAAACCTGATATCAACTCAAACTGGTACTCAAATTGGACTGAAAACTTTCCGCAAAACCAGTTTTAATTTCAAAATAGAATCACACAAAACCAGTAGCTTAAAAATATAATAGCACAAAAATGTATCGCACAAAAACGGGTTTCATTGAATATATATAAACATACACATACGCATATACAATCGTGAAAGTTTTAATTTTCTAAGTTTACCTGAATCTAAGTAGTCGTAGATGCTATTTAGGTAACCTAAAATAATAGAACATACATGAATTACAGTATATTATATTTGCTGTATGAATTTACTAAAATATTAGGTTTTAAAAATGTAGCAAATGCAATTGCAGTATAGAATTTTAAAAAAAAATGAATTTGCAATCAATAATTTGTAATTCATTTGATACTTTTTAATTACCTAAACTTGTTTTCCTCTTACTGCCTTTTCCTTTTCCTTTTCCTTTTCCTTTTCCGTGACCATCTATAAATTAAAATAGATAAAAAACAGTATTAAAACAGTTCAAATCTGTTGCATTTTTGCGAAATGATGGTTTATTCTCGAATCCATAAATTAGTGTTAAATTTAACTTTGAATCTGAATATTATATCTATAGAAGTTTAAATGATTATTACAATCATTTGAACAATAAAATGCAAATATATGTTCAAGTATTTTATCTGTTCCCAAGTATATGTAGAAATCATTTCGTTTTTAAATACTTAATTTTATTTTTATCTAAATGAAAACGAGTATTAGCAACACCAATTGCGTGTTTTGTAATTGATAAATAATCATTACCTTAGATTCCACTATCAAGTTTTTATAATTTACCTAAATTTTCATCACTGCTATTAGGATCTTCATGACTATGAAGAACAGCAACTATTAGAAAATAGAAATAATTAATAAACATAATAAAATGTTTTATATATTTAGGCTTTGTATTTTACTATACATGGCTTTGGGGAAAAATCGATTATTTATTAATTTGATCTAGGCAAATTAAACCTTATGTGACAGTAATTTTTTGATTTTAATAATCCCATGATAGTGTAAATGAAAACGTTAGTCGAAAAATAAAATAAGACTTTTTTATCGGCAAATGCCTAAAGCTTAGATTGCAGAATCTAGATTAATTATGCAGCTCATTGTTTGAATTTTGTAGGAATTTATCTAGTAACAATTATAATTATAATATTGATAATATAAATAATATATATATACATTTACAGCCAAAGAATTAAATAAAAAATTAATAAAGCAGTGATTTGAAGCAATTGGTGAGAAATTACCTTGCTGCAAATAATGGGCTTTTAGCTCCTCGGTTTGATTTCGAAAATTTGCCAGTTCCTTATCTCGCTCTCCTTAATAAGATAAATATATATTACAAAACGCGATTTTATACAAATACACATAGATATTCAGAATAAGATATTAATTTTACGATACCTGGATAATAGGGTAATGCATTGCTAGGGTAAAATCCTTTATATGGAACAATGCCTGTAACAAAATGAAATATTTCATATATATTTTCGAATTTTTCAAACTATAATGTTTCTAATATATATATACATATATATATATATATATATATATATATATATATATATATAAGACTTTTATAAAGAAGGTGAAAAAAATAAGAAAAATAAGAAATACATGATAAGTTTATATATATTTATCATGTATTTATTTAATTTATTCTTTTTTATTTTTTTTTTCACTTCTTTATAAAAGTTTTTTACCATAGTTTTAAAGAAAAAACATGCATTAAATGACTTTTTGTGGAATTGTCATTTTTGTTTTTTATCAGAAATAATACGCATAATGATAGTTCAAAATAATTGATAGTTTGAATTACAATCGACAAAATATTATAATTCATACAGTAATTTATTTTTTATATATTCGAAACTTAGTGCAAATATTATTTACCTGGTTGCAAACCGTGTGGTGGACATCCTATAAGAAAATATTTAATCAATATATTTTCAAGATTATATATACAAATATATATACATAATATATATATACATCTATATAGAATATAAATATATATATATATATATATATATTTACCTGTGCAATCTTTGTTATATACTAGCAAAATCCAATAGGTAAAGGAGGCAATTCAGCCTGCAATTAAAATTGTTTAAATTATAAATTAATTTTATATTGCATATTACAGCTTTTGTTAGTATATCATGCAAGTTTTTATGAATTATGTATTAAATATCTCTGTAATTATTTTAATTTTTAGAACATTCATTGTGCATTGTAGAATCTTAATTTAAGAATTTAACAAATATATTTAAATAGTAATGCATTTAAAGCAATGCTATAATTTTACCGTTAGGAAATTAATAGTAAAACATACTTACTACACCTGAATTATATTCCTGTTTCTGAATAATTTAAATCAATATTTAAAATTAAAACCATCTAAAAAAAATCAGTTTTAATTAAAAAAAATTTTCAATTTGTAATTGATCAAATTACTTGCAATAAATGTAATATTTATAAATATTATATTAATGCACATTTATAATAATATTATTCTGTAGATATTACTTGTCTTCCGCAGCTGCATACGATATGACGAACAAACTTTTTATTGCGGGCAAAATTAATAAATGCATCCATGTTCTCATTTCTTGCAATGCGTTCTTAGATCTAAAGCAAAACTGGAATTTTTAACTACTTTTTATATATCAATTTTCTTTCTATTTCTAAAGCTTTGCTTTCATCAGAAAAAAAACGTGCACACAAAAAACAAAAAAGTTATTTTATATTGACATTAACTAAGAAACAACCTGAAGCATAAATTTATAAACACGTTTTTTTTAAAAAAAAAAAAACTGGGAACAAATATTACACATTAATTTTCCTTGTAATACATTATTTACGCTTGCTCATTAAGGAGTTTTTACATCATCGATTGCGATATTATATTTTATGATCGAATATATACATGTTTCGACTTTTAACCAATTAAACATAAATCATGAACATTATTTGATAATGTCACAATATTTTATCATATTTTTTATATTCACATATTTATTGGAATGGAAAACTATTATTAATATTTATTCTTTTTAATAATTATTTAACAATTATTGATTATTACGAGGGAAACAAATCAGTAACATCAGATAAAAGCAAATTTATTTTCAAGGATATTATATGTAGATACATAAAATGTTCTTTGCAAGTAGTCTGTTTGCTATTGATAATACTAATAAAAAAATATTATCATTTATAAAATATAATTGTATGTTAAATTTTAAAACATTACTTTATCACCTATTAATTAAGGTGACCATATTTTTTTAAGTAATATCCGGGACGTCAATTTTTAATCATGCTAATCCATGTGTTTATAATAACAAATACTATTTAAGGATACAATAAAAAACAGTTTTTTTAAATAATTTTCTTTTTATTATAATAGCGGACATGTAGTAAGAAGTTTCAATAAGCTTCATACATTGACTATTATATGCAATACTTCTTTATCTATGATATTATAACTTATATTTTTTTATCTATATGTTCCATTTTCTTCATAATTAATTTGAAAAAAAATAGCATTTGTTAGTTTGTTTCCTTAATTTTATTAATTTAACTATTGATTTTCGAAAAACCGGGACTTCCGGGCCAAATAGAAAAATCCGGGACAAATATTTCTTTAAGAAAAACCAGGGACACAAGCTGGAAATCCGGGACTGTCCCGGACAATCCGGGACGTATGGTCACCTTACTATTAATGCAAATATGAAATTATATAAACGTATAGATTTTTGCTAAACTGATGTTTGAACTAATTATTAAGTGACTTATTATATCTTTAGTGATAATTATCATAATTTAAATTCATTGATTTCCTATTAATTTAAAGCTAGTTACTCAAAATAATATATAATCTTCTATTATTATATTTGATACAACTGAAATCGGCAAATAAAAAATTAAAATATACCATTTAAATAAAGAATAATTTAAATGTAATACTTTGAATGAAGTACTCAAATATCAATAAAATTAGTAAGACATTTGTAAAAAAAAATATTATCGTGCAATATTCAACTATGTCTTCGTATTACTTAACTGAATTATTTTTTTCAATTAGTGTTTTCTGTATAAAACTGACTTGTGTAATCAATCATAATTTTTTTCTTAAACTTTAAAATATCTGAATTTAAAAATGATTGAAATCTTATTCCACAAAACCAGTTTTTGCTAATGTTCATATAATTGTTTTATTTTTTATATCATTACAATTGTTTTAATGTAGACCAAAATTTCATCCAACAAATATGTGTTAATTTAATTCCCGTTACAATTCTTAACTACATTATAGTACACCAATGATACAATTATTCAAATTATCTTTCAAAAAACTAATTTAAAATGAATATTAATTATTATTGCCAAATAATATAGTGTTGAATTTTGCGGTGCTGTTGGATTTTTAAGGCTGCGGGACCTGAAAATTAAATAAGCACTAATAAAAAATGAGTATTAAATTGTACTATTTGATACAATTAAATATATACAAAATATAAATTGAAAATTATATGTGAAGTTAAATGTTTACTCACTCTAACCGTTTTTTCAAGCATGAATAACAAACATGTTATTAAACTATTTTTAATGCATTTAACTTCAAACTATGATCCAAATCTATTGATTACTACATTTTAATATATAAGTATATATAATTACCAGTTTAAGTGCGGACTTTTCAGGGTCATATTTGATATCACTTGGAGGAATTAAATAGTACATTTGTCCACTTGATTCTATTTAAAAAAAATATTTGGATTATTTTATGGATGCTTAAACAATTTTTGTAATTATTTTGATCATATTCAATAATCAAATATTAATAGAATTCTAAAAGTTTTATTATGTCTATTGATTATTCTCAGACACAAAAATAGTATTGTGATGTGATTATTCTCAGACACAAAAATAGTATTTAGAAGTATTCGAAAAAAATTATATATATATATATATCTTGATATATATATATATATATATATGTAAAATAAAATGTGATTACCTTCTGTCCCGATTTTATTTAGTTGCCTGCTTCTTTTTTGTGGAAACCCTGTAATATAAATTATAATATACCTTAATAGCAAGATTAATTTTGATATGCATTGCTGAGTAGTATATTAGATTACCTTGGATAATTAGAATGATTTTTTAAAAATTAAATAAATTTTAAATAATAATAGGTATGTGTGGAAATAGACAATAATACAAACATTTTTTTAAATTTTGTTTATATAGATTTTCATATAAATAATTTTGGTTTAAATGCAATAAATTATTTGCAAATACTTAGAAGTTTTAGATTGTCTGTTATATTTACCTTTCATAAGGGGCCCATAAGGTTTTGTAGATGCAGATGCTATAAAAATAAACAATATTTGTTGCTAAATTATTTTCACAAATTATTATTTTTTTAAATTTTAGATTATATAGATGTTCATATAGGACAATTCTAATTTAATTCAATTAGAATTACTCTATTAGATCAATTATCAATTTACCTTGATGTGGGAGCACATATGGATTTGTCATTGGAGGGGCTATAAAAATAAATAATTTTTGTTACCAAATTGTTGTCAAAAATTATTTAATATATTCAAGTGTTCTAAATATCTATTTACAATAAATGAAATTAAAATTCGAAAAACAGAAATTAAATGAACAAGAATATTAGGTTTTTATGTATCTTTTTGAACTCGCTATTATTTTATCTGTCTAATAAAAAATTATTAATTTTTTAAATTACTCTACTTTATTGTAGCATTTTGTTCAAAAGAAATATTTTAAATAAATTGCTCGAAAGTATATTAAATGTTATAAATGCGCAATTAAGCTTGAATTTCAATAAATATAAATAAATATGTAATTTACCTAGTGTCTGGAAGGGATGAGATTTGTATCTATCTGTAAAAGAATCACAGTCATTATTAAGATATATACTTACACGCATTAACAACTAAATTTTAAATTTTCATTTCATTTTTGGTGATTATTATTCTACGTCCATAATATGATTTTTGCACTTACATGCTGGCGTCTGAAATAATGGCCCATTTGATGGATCTAAAATAATAAAATAAAATAATTCAATAGTTGATGAAGTGAAAGAACAGGTGTCGTTTCATAAATTTTTAATTAATTAGAATTTACTTCATAAAAATCTAAATTTCAAACGTTTCCATACTGTGATATGTTTCATTATTAGTGTAAAATTTCACAAAATTAGTCTCATAATTAGTGCAAATTCACATAAATATATATATATATATATATATATATATATATATATATCAAATACTTTTAGATGCAATAATTCAATGACAGTCTTTTTTGGACAATATTAAAATTTATCAAAATATATTTCGAACATAAAAATTTCAATGCAACCGACAATGAAAATGTTTTACATTATTAGTAATGAAACACAAATATACACTCAAACACAGAAGACATAGACATCGCATTTTATTTGCTATTATTTGTTAATTTTGTATTTATAATAGAAAATAATAAAATGGAAGATATGTGCTCTTTTCCGAGGACTATTTGTACTTTTTTACGTTATATTATATATAAATTATATCAGGTTTTATCCTTCTTAAGAAGGGAAATCAAAACCAAAAAAATTTTTTAATTGTTCAATAATATAATCCAAAATAAATGTTGATAAATAAATTTTCTATACAAGAAAAAACATCTATCAAATAATAACAAACAAAATTGGTTGAAGTCGGTTGAAAAAGACACAGAAAAATTTTATGTA